GATTGTTTCTTGACACAGATTAAGGAAATTGCAGGCTATAAGGTGGTCAATGAATTTGTTTATCTTGAATCACTTCTTACTAATAAAGGAGGATGCGATAATAAAATTAAACACAGAATTTGCTTTGTTTGCAATGCAACCTCTAAATTATATAGAATTTGGAAAGATTCTGCAATCACTATTTTTAATAAACTAAAGCTCGTAAGAACACTTATTTTTCCAATTGCCACTTATGCCTTGAAAACCTGGACCATAAATGCCACTTCTCAGAAGAAACTTGATTCCTTTGAAATATGGACATATAGAAGAATGCTGAAAATCTCTTGGACAGTACTGAACAAATTGCTCCATCGTAAATCAACTGAAAATCACATCACATCTTACCCCAAAGGAACCTTTGCTTCTTGGGACATATTTCCAGATGCAAAAATGGATTTGAGAAACAAATTCTAGAAGGGAAGATCAGTGGCAAACACCCTAGAGGAAGATGTCGGATTAGGTGGGCAGACCAAGTAATGATGATTACAAAACATACAATGTATGAAGCCATCCAAATGGCACAACACTGTAAACAGTGGAAAGATACAATTAAAGCTATCAATTTGTAATATTATCACCACGCCTTCTGAAGGACATAGGAAGAAGATATTTATACACACATATATAAATTACAATTAATGCAAACATAATATAATTTATTTATAAATATTCACTTCTTTGGGTATTCTACATGTAAGATCATAATGATAAATGCATAAATTGTTAATAAGTTAAAAAAAATTCTAATAAAAATATTTAAAAATAGCTTAANATAGTAATAATAATAATTTTTTATGCCAAAAAATTCATCCATTATCATTCATGATGAGATTAAGCTGTAAAATCTGCTTTTGATGTTTCTGTACACTCAAATAGATCCATTATGGGTTTTTTTTTTTAAATTTGTTTTTGTGTGTGTTGGTATGATTAACTGCAGTTGTTATTAAATGATAACAAAAGAATAATTGAAGGGCTTGTAGGAGGAGAAGGAAATTGACTTTTCATGAAATTTGAGTTACAATGATGGACAAAACTTTAAAGACAAGCAAAAATTCCACTTAAACTACTAACTTAATTTAAATTATTGGTTCAATCATGCTTTAAAAAAGTAAATTAATTAATAGGTTTATACAATAATGAAAGAATAGTGTTGGAATAGTTCTTCAAAAAAGTAGAAAACCAGGTAATTTATGTTGACAAAAATTTAAATACAACTAAAAAACAACTGCAAATAATAGATTAAAATCACAGACCACCCACTTTTTTCAATCATGCTTTAAAAAAGTAAATTAATTAATAGGTTTATACAATAATGAAAGAATAGTGTTGGAATACTTCTTCCAAAAAGTAGAAAACCAGGTAATTTATGTTGACAAAATTTTAAATACAACTGAAAAAAAAAAACTACAAAATAATAGATTAAAATCTTGTAGACCATCCACTTTTTTGAATAACCTCAAAACTGCAGTCTGGCATATTCATAATAAATGTTTTGAGCATAGAAGTTGGTAAGCATGCCCTGCTTTCTCCACTGCAACTTTTAAGTCTATTACTGAACTGTACAAGATCTGTTTAAAAAGTATTGGACCTTTTTTTTTCCACATAAACCAATGATGCGCAAGAGGCCTCCTTCTGTGGAGTTGTGGAGGGGACAGTCATGCACAGCCCTGAATTTTTTCCCGCCTGCAGGAAGCGTCAGTCGTTGGCAATCGGCCTATGAGTGACTCCTTTGGTGGAGTTGTGGAGGGGACAGTCATGCACAGCCCTGAATTTTTTCCCGCCTGCAGGAAGCGTCAGTCGTTGGCAATCAGCCTATGAGTGAGGTCATTTAGTGCGCTCTCGTCAAATTCCACTAAGCTCGAAAATGACTGAACAACGTGAGCAGCGATATTACATCAAATTTTGCCAAAAACCTTGGCGATACCCGAGTGTAAACCATTCGCAAAATTCAGCAGGCTTTCGGGGACGATCCTGGAGCCAAAAAAAGCATGGCAGGTCCGCAGCAATATCAAAGGTCATGTTGACAGTTTTTTCGACTCTTGTGGAGTGGTGTGTCATAAGTACGCACCTCAAGGCCAAACCATCGCAAAGGAGTACTACCAGGAAGTCCTTCGTCGTCTTTCCGATACAGTGTGACGCAAACGACTGGATCTGTGGTCGATCAAAACTTGGCAGCTCCATCATGATAATGCATCCGCCCATTCTGCGCATCTGATTCAGGCTTTCGTTGCCAAACATAACACTCCTGTGGTTCGTCACGCTCCGTACTCTCCCCGCATGGCTTCATGTGACTTTTGGCTATTTTCCAAGCTGAAAATGCCGCTAAAAAGGAACCCGAATTTAGTTGAGAGAAGACATTGTGCGGAATCCGACAGACCGGCTGATGGCCATTCCAAAAGATGCGTTCCAGCAGTGTTTCCAGCAATGGCAGGAACGCTGGGAGAAATGTATACATTACCAAGGAGACTACTTTGAAGGGGATTAGGGTTTCGTACCTCAAAATCAATAAATTTATTTTTGCCGACCAAAGGTCTGATACTTTTTGAACAGACATCGTATAACTATTGTTTGCCATCAGCATATATAGTTCTTGAAAGCCCAGATATTCTCAATCAGGTTTAGATTTAGAGATTGAAATGGATGATCCAACAATTGGACTTGTTTTTGCTAAACCCAGTTTTTTATGGTGCAATATAAATGGACACATGCATTGTTTTGCTTAAAATAAAACTTTCTGCTTGCTAATTTTCATACATTTGTCTATTTATGAATTCAACAGATGACTTTATCTTGCAAAAAATGGCACCTAACACCATAATGGAACACCAATTTGTTGTTGAGATAAAATCCTCTCTTCTTTGCACAAATCATGAAAATAATAGTTTAGACCATCTGGACCATCCAGATTGAACTTTTTTCATATGAAAAATAACCTATTGCCATTCTGTATCCAGAACATGTGATCTCATGCATAAGTCAATATTGAAGTTTTATATTCTTTAGTTAGAGGAAGTTTTATTTTCAATTTCTTTCTTTTAAGTAGTCTTGATGATTTTATCACTCTTTAAACATGAATTTTTAACTCTAATTGATTCACAATTTTTGATGCTGATGTCACAGTGTTGTTTGCAACTCTCAAAATTTGCTTCTCATCTCTTACATTAAAACCTAGGTTCCACCATTGTTTTTTGAGTTCTATTTATCACCTTTTTTAATATAGTTATGCACAAATAGGAAGGAATCACAATGTTGTGATTCCTTCCTATTTGGGTAGATACAACATGATAGTTTTGTAACCATGACTATAAAATATCAATTTGTCCTTGTTCTTTCTCTGCCAGTTCACCAGAATACCTATTCACATGTTTGACAGATGATTTTTTTTATACAAAAATTTATACATAGCCTTAATTATTTACATTTATATGAAAATTTGGAGTTACAATCATACAAAATAATAAATATACAAAAGGCATAATATATATAAATATGTAATATATATTTATTTTATAAAATGCACAAAAATTATATTTTGTACATTATATATACATTTTTAATTTACTACTCATCTTGTTATTAAATAAAAGTTTTAATAGAAAATAATATAACATACAGAAATCTATTTAAATCTACAAAAAAATTATTTTATAGTTAACTAAAATTAGATATTTTATAGCAAAAAATCATAATGTATGTATAAAAATGATTGTAATGTTCTTGTTTATCTTTTATAACAATTATCTTTTATAAATAAAAAAAAATATTTTATTCATCATTCGTTACAAAAACTTTTACCATATAAGCATTAAATTAAATATGTATGTCACTAAATTGACGAGCGCTTTCAACGATACACACTTTCATCTTCTTCAGGTCATTAGAAGATATAAGATCCTTTTTTGAATACAGAATTTAAAACATTCCAATCTTAATTAACATTTTGGAATAACAGCAACAATAGAATATAAGAAGATATTTAAATAAAAACACATGCGTTTATACTGCACATGCATTAGATGCCTCTATATTGTGGATTTAGTTGTGATGTTTTATATAGCTGTACAAACTGATCCACAAAAGGGGCAAATCCAGTGTGGGGGTGTTGCAGGGCTTTAATACGTTGGTGATGAGGGCTTCCCAGATATATATAAGATTTTTGTTGTTGCAATGTTTTAGTATAACCACATCATTCCACAGAGGGGTATGCTTGTGTTGTAGCACCCTTTATCCTTTATCCACCATTGAAAAATCGGGGATTTATTCAGTCCATTAGAGAATGATTTAGGCGGTCGCACCCATTATATTGGTGCAACAACCAGAATGTTAGCTAACCGTATTTTAGAACATCAATATTCCATCAGGGAAGGCAGGAAAGACACAGAACTCGCCAAAATGGTGCAAAATGAAATATCCCACACATTAGATGTGTCTTCATCTCTGATTTATGCATATACCCTTAAGCCCTTTAAAAATTTCAATAATTTCCAGATGTTTAGTAAGTACAGAGTTATATATCTATCTAGAAATTTTAAATTTAATTAAATATTACACAGTATAAAATATTTTTATTTATTTATCATTTTATTCCTAATTCCTTTTGATAATTATTAAAATATTCTTTTATTTTTCTAAAAATATTAATTATAGTTAATACTAAATACAACTAAATTTGGTTTCTTCCTTTGGTTGGGTCCAAGCTTTATTTTTCAAGTTTCCTAACTTGAATAATAAAACTTTTCTCTGATATCTTATTTGCATGGATTGTATACCTGAAATTATCACATAAATTGTATTTGATAACAAAATAATATTTGATACTGTATAAATTGCAGTTACTGTTATGACATGGATAACATTATTATTATTATTATTATTTATGCATTATCATTTGTAATTTTTTCCAATTATAATTAGAAATTTGCTATACATTGAAATATTGAAAATATCATAAAAAAACTTACCCAAGTAACAAAACAATGGCCAACATCTTCAGGCATAGTTTCATATTTTTCTAGCTCTTTCAAAAATATGCTACAAAAATTTATTTTTAAGTATTAAAAATACTAATATAATAAGATAATTTATAAGAATTATGAAAGAAAATGAAATTAGTATTGTAGTTTAAAATTAATGTGTGATTAAAACTTACATTTACTTAAATGCACATAATAATATAAATTAACTAGTTATAAATCAAGTAAAACTCATAAGCTGAAGTAATTTTTAAAAATGAAATAAAGTTATTTAAAAACAGATCGAAACATACCAAAACTGAATCGGTTATTACATGTTTCTAGTTTGTTTTATTAAACAGATAAAAAGAATTCAATTTTTACAAATATCAGCATAATGTATCAAATTTTGAGATGATAAACAAAACTCATCTGGTTTAAAAAGCCATTCATTGTTTTGTAAAAATCTGACTTATGATCTATTATTCAATTTATTAAAATGTTTCAATAAATAAATTTTTCATTTTCATTTTAATTAATAATCAAAATATTTTGAATTCCAAATAACTAATTTCACAAAAACATTTGAGATTTAATCCAGAATGTTTCTAAAAATTATATAAAAAAGAATTAAGTTTAAGAATTATTGTAAAAGTCATTAAAAGAGTTAAATCATCTATTCATAAAAATTTATTAAAAAACCATATTCAAAATTCCATTCATTGAAATTAGTGTATTATGTATTAAAAAATAATCCAGAGTAAGATTAAACTCAAATCTGAGTTGTTAATTTGATGACCTATCTTTAATTGATCCAACAGCATGGATGATATTAGTCCATGTTTATGAAGAGTTAAATTTATTTCAAAACTGTTTTGAACTTACTAGTTTTATCTAAAGTAAAATAAAATTTAAAAAAATGAACTATACCTGTTATGAAAATCATATATTTCTTCCATATTTCCAAACAGAATGTTATGTTTCCCAGCTATACCAATTGGTATATCACGTTCTATGTTCTTCATATCAGCCAGATAAGTATTAATACATGTTTCTAAATCTTTTACATAAGATCTTTCTGTCTGTAATAATTCGGCCATAATAAATCTGAAATAATACATATAAATTTGAAATACTTCTTATATTTAGGATTTTATTATTTATTAACTTTCTCAAAAAAAAGAAGAAAACTCAGTTTTTCGGTGTTATATAAATAATATTTTTAATAACTAAAACACTTTCAATATATCAGAATATCATCTTCAGGAAAACGATAAACAAATCAGAATACATTTGTCAAATCACAGTACTTAGTTTCCCATTTTCCTGAAAATATTTGTAATATTGAAAATGTTTGAATTATTAAAAATATTGCTTATTATAACATAAAAAACTGAGCTTTCATCTTTTTTGAGTTAAAAATTTGTGGTATATGCATTTTCTATCTTATTCTTACATTTAATTTAATGTGTAGTCAAAACAGAAGAACAACCATTTACATTAGAATAAATGCTTCAAAGTAAAATGTCCTTAAAGTTACAAAATGAAATGAATTTCCATAAGATTTAGTAAATCTTGTTTAAAACTGATTAACATATTTTTTTACTTTATTTTAGATGGTAACCAAAACTATTACACTTAATCCATTTTGAATAAGAATTAATTGGTTCAAATATCCATCAGAATATTTTTTACTTAAATATAAAAGACTACTAGTCAATTTATATATAGATACAATATTATAATACTTAATTTTATTTCCAATTAAAAACAACAAATAGTGAGAATCCATGAACTCTGTACTCTTTCTACTTTCATGAAAAACATCTTTATGTTTTTACAATTTCATGATAAAATTGTAAAAATCAGGTTCAAGCCACCACTAGAGGGCTTGAACCTGATACTGAAGGTATAAAACTTGGCAGTTGGTGAGAAGATTTACTTAATTTTAATGTAAAGGCGTCAGATACCTAAAATGAAAGGCTGACGTCTGATCGTTTTTAATTGTAAATTTTTACCTATTGTTATACGTTTTTTATGAAGTGATTTCTTCAAACCGATGTAAAAGGCTACTTCTGTGGTGTGTGAAAAAGGATGAATTGATAGACTCAAAAATTAAATAATTTTTTGTACATAGTCTGAATCTCTAATTAATAATTAGAAGAAAAATATCCTGAGCTCATCATGAAATTGTAACTACATGCAAATCAAAGATAGCTCGTATCCACCACTAGAGGGCTTGAACCTGATACTGAAGGTATAAAACTTGGCAGTTGGTGAGAAGATTTACTTAATTTTAATGTAAAGGCGTCAGATACCTAAAATGAAAGGCTGACGTCTGATCGTTTTTAATTGTAAATTTTTACCTATTGTTATACGTTTTTTATGAAGTGATTTCTTCAAACCGATGTAAAAGGCTACTTCTGTGGTGTGTGAAAAAGGATGAATTGATAGACTCAAAAATTAAATAATTTTTTGTACATAGTCTGAATCTCTAATTAATAATTAGAAGAAAAATATCCTGAGCTCATCATGAAATTGTAACTACATGCAAATCAAAGATAGCTCGTATCCACCACTAGAGGGCTTGAACCTGATACTGAAGGTATAAAACTTGGCAGTTGGTGAGAAGATTTACTTAATTTTAATGTAAAGGCGTCAGATACCTAAAATGAAAGGCTGACGTCTGATC